TTATAATGATAAAGACAGATGAGCCATAGAAAAGAGTTCCCAAGACTGAAGGTCTCCCTCATTAATACTCTTTAAGAACTGATTACAGGTATAACTGAATAAATCAAGTGGGTTATGGGGAGCTCTGTCCTGAGCCCAGTATTTTTCATTAACCATGTGAGGAAAAGAGGTAACAAAATATCTGATGAAAACAGAAGAAAACACATGTTTGTGAAATATGTGGAGAAAGCTTAAGCAGAGTAGTTTTGTGAGTATGCTAAAGTATCAGATAAAAACTCAACATGTTCCTGAAAGATTGAGGAACTGATCTGAAAATTATTTTTATTTAGGAAAAGGCAGCATAATAAAAATGTACAGTATTATTCTAACCTGGAGTGACACCACTTAAAATTAAGATCTTGAGATCCTATAATCAGTAACACTGAATCAAGCTAGTTCCTCATAACTTTCGCTGCAGTGTATTATAAAAGAATCAGGAATAATTATGAAACATTATATAATAATACAAGTGAATACAGTGATTTACAAACAATTCAATTGCATAATACCCCAAGCTCTCAGAAAGCACACTGACACAATTCAGAAGCTCCTAAAAATTTCAGCACTATTACTTGATGTTTATTGCATAGTAGTGGCTAGAGATGTTGGTCAAGTCAGGCCCCCACTGTGCTAGACACCATAGAAAAACACAGAAAATGACAAGCTTTGCTCCAAACAGCTCCTACTAGAAAACCCCAAGTGTTTAAGAGTCAAAGCCCACAAACACGAAACCTCAGCCCATTCAGATATGCCTTCCCTCTACAACTCAAAGCTGCAGAGTAGCGTTTCACCCTGTCACAATAAATATACCCTGATCATTAAAACTTAGCTTGACAAGTGGCTTAGCTAAGTGGCAAACAGGCCACTTTCTAACAGATGAGCAATGGATGTGCTGCCACAAAGCAGGCCAAAGCTCCTTGGGTCTCCGTCTATTCCAGTGACACACATCATGGGTTCTTCTGTATGGTGTATAATCTGAGCACACCGGCTGGCGCTTGCCACGCTACATCTGGTCTGTGTTAGACAACCTTTAGTTCTGTTCTTTTGCATCAGCCCTGGCCCCCTCTGGTGCAGCAGCCTCCCAACCACTGCTTCTCCATGAACTACTCATGGAGACAAAGTACTCTGGGAGGAAGTAAATTGGGACCACATTAGCTGCTGACCTTCGCCCTGCAATTGGCCTGCCTTTCCGATGATAGAGGAAATCCCTCATACAAACTGACAACCAATATGAAACAGGCAGCTCCATTTACTGGAAAGCCTGGTCAATGCTGAGTGCCTCATTAGGAAATGGTCTCTATATTGAGGCACATTCCTGCAATTCTGAGCCTAGAAACTCCAAATTAAAACAACATTGATGCCATATCCTCTTTCCAAAATGCTTCTCTTCATCCAAACTTTAATACACATACTTAAAGAAATTAAAGAACCAAAATGCCTTTGGCAGGACTCCTTCCCTGTCTTTTGCAGTAATACCCTGCCGGTGCAAGTGACCAGGAATGTGACAGTGTTGGGAAGGGAGAAAGGAGAGTTGAAGCAAAGAATAACTGCAGAGTCCTCCAGAATCTGTACAACCTTTCCTTGGTGAATCCACGTCTTCACCAATATTTTTAAATAAATAAGAATCACTTGAAATTGCAGGGCTGAAGAAACTGTATTTTTTTTTTTAAGCAGTAAATTGAGGCTTATTGGTAGACTGAGCTTTTGTTTTGGGAGAGAGTTAGTTGTATCCCTCCACACTCTAAGAAAGATGAAATAACAGTGAGTCAGTCTGCAGTGACAGCTATTGTAGCAACTCAATGACAACCAGCACAAGCCACGAAAAGGCACAGTCTGAATCCTACCATACACACTTGGATCCATTCACACTTGCTATTGCTGTGTAGTCAGAAAACTGCTTTTCTAAAGCGTTACCTTGGTCAGAGGCCCTTTCTAGTTCACAGTGAGATTCAGCAATCAGGAATACAGTGCCTACCACAGCATGCGTAAGTCTTCACACAAACCACCCCCTTCCGATATTGCTCAGCATTACTACTTGCATCCTATGTACACGGAAACGGGAATCTTTTAGTCAACTGACTGCCAGCCTGACTGTGTGGGAAAGAGCTGCTTTCCCACCACAAAGCCTTAGAATTTCCTAGAAACGGGATAGACTGAAATACCAAATACTTAATCAGGGAGCTCAACAGCTCTGAAACAATGTTAAAGGCAGAAGGAAGGAATTCCTGAGGTCAGGATCCCAGATCTGAATCTGAAGGGTTGAATAAACCTTTTAGGTTCCAGAATTGCTTTTCGAAGTCTTCCAGAACATCCTGATTAACTGGCATTACTTGCCTTTCTGGAATAGCTGTGTTCAATGCATCTGCAAATCCGAAGGACTTTTTCACAATTTCTACTGCAAATTTAGGAATTACAGCTAAACTTTTAGGAAGCTCCTGAAATGCTGTATAGTCCTGTGTTGCTGGCAAACACAGATAGAACTTTGTTCCCAAGATGTAGAAAAGGGTCCATGTAGAGAAAACTCAAACTGATGAATAAACCCAGTTGTTTTGTTGGAAAATATGAGGCTGGTGACCTGTAATAACTGAAGAGGACCACAAGGGCCAAGTACAGAGGTTATTTGCAAAGCGTGTGGAAAAATGAGAATCTCTTTGACTATATCAGTAATCAGGATCCTGCAAAATCTCACAGCCTTCTCTTCTGAGCTGTCAAAAGTCTGTATGATTTGAACTGATGCAGAAAAGGTATGTACCAAAATTATTGGTACTGAAGAAAAAAATGTGATTTGGGATCCCCTGCAATTTAAACAGGTGGTGAGTATTATTGTCCCATGACAAGTAACTCTGAGGAGCTTTTCTTTCAATGTGTTGAAAGCTGCACACAAAAAAGGATGAAAGATGATGCATCCTTAAGATGTAGGACTGATTTTAGGGAAGATATGTCAAATCCCTCCTAGGCCAAATAAATATTTCTCAGTTATGGTTAAAACATAGTTTAGATTGTTTATATATAAACATATATTCTGCCTTGCGGATTGGGAATGTACTGGAGAATACCTTGCAGCCTCATTATCTCTGATTTTATATTTATACTACTTACATATAGCTTGTATTTATACTACTTGTAGCACAGATGTGTTGAGATTACTTTCTGCTTTCTTCTTTTTCTTTTTTTAAGATGACAGTCTTAAACAATCTTAAACAATGACAAGTCTTTAGCTGATGGCAGTTTTGGAACCAGAAACTTCAAAGGCATTTGGACATTCCAATGAGTTTTTTGAAAAAGGACTATTGCTCCTTTTTTTTTAAAAAAACACCACCAGCTCAGAATTGTTTTCACTATTTCAAATTAATCTCCTTTGCAATTTTATTTTATTTGGTAAATCAAGTATCCCACAGCTATATAGAAAAGCACTTAGAATGGGCATCCTTAAAGGAAATGTCTGTGTCTTTTTAGGTATAGAATATGGTATTTTAAGACTTATTAGCAGTGAAAAATAATGATATGACCTACAACAATGTCAAAAAAATCACCTAATTGAAATATAAGTCATTAAAGATAATCACAACCTTAATGGATAAATCAAATATCACAAATTTTCAATAGAAAAAAAGCTACCACAAATCACTAGACTCTTCTATCTACCCACAAAGGATAATCAGAAGGAAACTGGAAAAGGCAAGGGGCTAGAATTTAAACTTAGGATAACAAGAGATGACAATAAAGTTCCAATTTCTCTTGGAATGAGTGGTAGTGTACATTAACTGCTACACCTACAGACAATTACATGAAGAAAATAAGTGTTTTCTATTGCTGTGGCCACTTCTGAATCTTGTAGGAGGTCATCTGGCTGACAAGTGAAAGTAATTACAACTGTTGCTCAACAGTAAATTATACAAGACTGTAAGCTGTACTTCTTGCTTGTTTTGAAGCTGGTATAATAATCAAAATTACTGTTCATCAATTAAATTTAACTTATCTTTAAGTTATCTTAAAAATCCATGGCCAATAACCTACTTGTATTTCCTTAGGAAGGAGCAGAGAAATCCTTTATCAGAAAGCAACCTGGCTTTGTCTTACTGTCTTTGACAGCAACAGAAATAATCTGATTGACAGATAAAATGTTGCACATGAAATTTTATGAAGATGGAAATGATGGCACTAAAGAAGTTGATACTGTATTGGCAGCAGCTCATGTGCTATTGCAGGGAATGTGGCAAGGGAATAACTCAGAAAAAACAGTAGAAGTGCTGAAGTGAAAAACCTACACAGATATTTCAGATCCTAAATCTCTTATTGCCAGGGATGCCTTTTGCTTCCTCTGTGTTTTATTGGCAATGTATGTTTCACATTGCATTCAACACTGAAACACAATATTAAATGCTTGAATAAAAACACAGTTTTTCTTATTGCTATGCCAACACAAAAAGATCTTAGAAATGGGAGAGGCCAGAAACAGGAAAGGGCCAATCTCCTCAGAAGCACAAGACCTCCCAAATTCTACTCTAGTAGCTAGCATTTCTAGATGGTGCTCCTGTCACAGATTTGAAATCACAGTAGAGACTGTGATATTTAAGCTTTACAGCAACGAGAATTTTCTTCCCTGACAAGGCAAATCCGGACCACCAAGAGAAGTATCACTACATTTCCCTGAATCTGTGGTTATTTGTGCCTGTAGAAGCTAATAATCAATGTCTTTTTCATTCACAGTTTGCTATGCATTCTACCACACATTTACTACTCAGGCAAGTGACACAAAGGAACTTCCCTCACCAATGAGGCTTCTTCTTTCCCCCAAAGTTCTAAACAGGCTTCATAACTGGTAGCTAGTTTGAAATTGTTATTTATACACTTTCTATCCCAATCTTTGACAGGATTATACATTACTAGTTCCATAAATCAAAGTAATACTTTCACACCAGATTATTAACTGTTTTCTTTCCTAGTCTCCCCCTACCCACCTGCTGCTTGAGCTGTTGCACAAGACGGTCCTTCTCTCGTTTCAGTGCAGCCACTTCATCTTGGGTCTTCTTCTTAGAGGATGAGAGTTCTAGTAGAGCAATATTGGCATCTTTTTCACTAATGGCAGCAAGGAGGGCTTCTTGTCTGAAAAAAACCCATAAAAATACATTATTATCCTGCAAAACTCAGAGGAAGCCTTTAGAAAGAGTTGAATATACCATACATGTTGTAGCAGCATGGAAGTCTGAAGAGCAGTAATAAATGTTTGTCATGGTTCTATGCTGGTGGAGCAGGAAGCCAAGACCTACCTGCCTACCCCTAAATGGCTGCACTCATGCCAAATTATTGCTACAGGGTAAGAAAAACATGTAACGATATGTTATTATTCTGCACTCAGCTTCTCAGTTTTTAGTAACTACTATGTATTATTACTTTGGCTGAAAATTTTCATTCTTCGTAATGTTCTATACATTTCCAGAAGAGATTTTCAGAATACATGAACAAATAATGGACTAATGATAAGACTTCTGCGTTAAATTATATTAGCTTATATTGCCTATTCATGCAGCTATTTAGAAGAAAGGTAGCATGTGAGAAGTTTATTGAAATCACTTGAACAATACAGTGTATTCCCAGAAGAAGATGATGACATAGGCACTTTTGTTCTACAAGACAAATGTTGAAATAGATGCCTTCAAGAATGATTGAGCTGTTCTTTGACTTTTCTTGTAAGTAACCAATATAATGAGCTTGCTGGATGCATGTCCTGACTAAGACAAATGTAGGCTGGCCCTCATCACAAACCTTTTGCAGCCTTGTGGAAATGGTGTAAGAACAAACATTCTGTTCTTAATATTGAGCAAGATCTTGAGGCTCAAGCACTGTAATAACTAGAGGTAGAAAGACAACCATGCCATAATCTCTCCTGATAGCAAAAAACTTAAAAACAGAATTCAGAAACATTTTATGGATACTGGCAAGAGAGGAGATTAAGACAATGGCCTTGATCATAATACAGCAGTTCTAAAATGGATTTTTAGATCTCAAAGGATTGCTCTATGGTAGAAAAACATCTGTTTCTCTCCTTTGACCTTAATTCTCATCTTTAGACGGCGTGGCCAAACCAGAATGTGCATCAGGACATAAAAGAAAAATTACTGCCCCATAAGGGTGGCTTGTCCCACCTCTCATCACCTTGCAAAGAAAATGAGGTCCTAATCATTTATGGCAGTGTGAAAGACAGCATCATGCAGAAGTGATGGTGAAAAACAGACTCTGAATGCTACTGATTTCCTATGTAGTCTTCATCTAGAAAAATACTTGCAAATGCAGTTAAACTAGTAAAAATGCCAAATTCCCAAATAATCAAAATTTTTACCTGCTCTCGTTTACAAGCAAAAGCATGTTAATATTGATAATTTCATAGAATGGCTTTCTAAAAACAATCAGATGTGTTACAACTATTCTGCTAATTATGCCAACAGCAATTATTATGCTAATAACATTGCCATAAGTCTTCTATTGAAGATGCAAGAAAAATTATAGAAGCTTAATGAAAAATATTAAGATTGCTTTTAATGATGCCAATATATCTGTTTGTTGTCAAGATCTTTTTTAATAAAGACCCATCACAATCTGGTGACTTAGGATCACACTGGCAAACTGCTGAGGGAAGCAGTGACAGTAAATCAGCTTTTTTCTAATTCACTTGTTACCACTCCTTAAGCAGACTTTATCTGTAGTAAAATAGCTTTGTTTTTTATTTCCTGTGTCTTCTTTCTAAACAATTAACTTAACCTTAGTTAGGAATTTGTAATTGTGGCTAAAATAAAAATACGTGCTCCAAAACTGCTCACTGAGCTCCACGTGAAGGAATACATGACCGAGAAAAAAAGAAGAACAGGACAGATGTCAGTGCTTTTTTTTAATATTGGTGTTTTAAACAAACACATGTAATAGACTGGACTTTTAAACTGAAGGCTTGAAAAGGAAAAGGACTGGTACCACTGGAGTACAGAAATTTTTACCTCTTAAAATCCTGAAAAAATTACAAATTTGGTGAGCATGAAAAGATGTATTTAATATTGCAGTGTTTCTGAGGATGGAGAGTGAAATAGCTTCAGTACTTCAGTATTTAGATCAAATGTGCAGGGAGATGCATACCTCCTGCTCAGTTAGACAAAGAACTTCTATCCCAGATTACTTACTTACTTAATAATCTCTTCTCCAATCTGTAAGAGTAACTGCATATATATTTGCTTCTGGACCTTGTTCTAAAAATCTCAACAATACTGTTTTGCATTAAAAATCCCCCTCAACACATTGTTTTAATAGAATGGGACCAACTACACATGCAGAGAATACAGTAGCTTCTGAGAAGCAGCTCAGGGCTACAACCTTTTAACCCAGCTCGGCAATAGCCAGCGCAGCACTCTGTCCATCCCCTCAGTCAGTCCAGTGATAACTGAGTTTTGCTGAAGCTACCCATAAGTTTGCTATTATCAGGATCTCAGCTGAAACCATGTATCATTATCAAAAAATGTGAAAGAACCATGTATTCCAAGAAGAAAAGGTATGTTTCAATAGACAAAATTGTTCACCTTCTGACAGCAGAATGGACTTACACAATGAACTTGCTGTGACTGGAATTCGTCGCTGCATTTATACAGGCGTTTCTTGTACATGCTAAGAGAGCAAGCTTGCTTTATGCAGACTACCAGCATATCAAAAATCTGACAGATCCATTTTAGGAAGTACTTGGATCCCACTTAGATCATATCTAGATAAACTAGCACCTTAAATTATTCCTTGTCTTTCATGACACAATACCATAAATTTAGGCAAATTTTTTTTTCAGAAGAGTATCAAAAGATACTCTAAATACACTTATGCTGTGAAGAAATACAAAGATTATGATGACTTAATGGAGACAAAGAGTAGAAGAAAGGAAAAGGTGCACATCAGACTCTCAGTTATAGTGTTCAGATCGTAGGTGTGGGAACAACCCGAGATGGACACATTATTATTGCCACTTTGTTTCTGTTGCTTTTGCTTTATGGAATAGTATCCAATTTTGGATGTATGCCTGAAACATGAAAAATATCAATAGAGTGAAGTGACAGAACATGATCCATGACCTCTGCTTTATTCTAGCTATTGTAATCTTGGGAAAAACAGGCTGGCTTGGAGCTCTGGTCATTTTCACTTTCTTTAGAGTAATCTGTTTTGATTCTAAAGAAACACTTATTCTTTTAATAGTAAACCCACAATCCTTGCTGATGATTCAGGACCAGAGCCAGGAATATCTCTTTAACAGTATCTATATAGCTATTACTCTGGTATGGAAATTGGAGGTGCCTCAAATAACACACAAATCATACCTTCTGCAATCAAATCCTCTGTTGCCCATCTCTACTTCTTAAGTGAAAACTCCAGGACCACCACAATTAGATATGGAGAGCAGCCTATTACTTATTTTTAGCTGAATAATCTTCACCACCATGCCTGAGAAAAAACAATCCATTGTCCAAAATTTCAGTGCTACATCATGTGTGTGAAAGGGCTGCTGGTCAAGAAGAGGGGTGAAAGTTGTGGCTTTCTGACTGTTTTCTGGAACTGAAACAAGGTGGTGTTTGAACTCGTCTCCAGTTGGACATCGAGCCATTGACTGCAACCCTTTGTGTGTGGCCATCCAGCTGATTCTTCATCCACCAAGTGGTCCTTCCCTCAAATTTCTGCCTCTCCCGTTTAGGGACAAGGATGTCATGTGGGACAGCATCAAAAGCTTTGCACAAGTCCAAGTAGACGACATCAGCTGCTCTGCCGCTGTCCATCAGTTCTGTAGCCCCATCATAGAAGGCCACCAAATTGGTCAGGCACGATTTGCCCTTAGTGAAGCCATGTTGGCTGTCATCAACCACGTCATTGGTTTTTATGTGCCCTAGCATGGTTTCCAGGAGAATCTGGTTCATGATCCTGCCAGGCACAGAGGTGAGACTGATTGATCTGTAGTTTCCTGGGTCTTTTCCCCTTCTTGAAAATGGGGGGTTTATTTCCCTTTTTCCAGTCATTGACTGGAATATATTTCCCTTTTTTCCAGTCCTGACTGCCATGATTTTTCAAATATGATGGACAGTGGCCGAGCAACTTCATTCACCAGCTCCTTCAGGACCTGCGGATGGATTTCACCAGGTCCCATGGACTTGTGCACACTCAGGTTCCTAAGAAGATCTCAAACCTGATCCTCTCCTACAGTGGGCCTAAGGTCTTCATACTCACAGTCCCTGCATCTGCCTTCCAAGACCTGAGTGGCTAGAGCGCTTAAATGGCACACTGCTGTTCCAACAGAGCTTGGAATTGCTAGAATTATTCTGAAGACCACAAAAAGCAAGTATCATCAAGCAAAACACAATTTCTGTGATTGAAGAGCACCATAAAAATGACCTGTTTCTCTTCCTGAGAGCTGCTATCCCCAGGGAGACCAAAAGTACTTGCTGTAATACAGGTGAGGTGGCAGAAGGAGAAAATGGCCTGCTCTGTGAATGACGCACATGAACAAACCTATCTGTCAGAAGTGTTGCAGTGAGTCTTAGAGGCTCAACTTTGGTTCAGGTACCAGTCAGTAGTACATGCGCAGCTTCTTCAGCAAACTGTGTGTTCAGTTCATAACATCAGAGGTCCTGAAATGTTCTAAAAGGCAGTCAAAGCATGTACTTGCTGCATAGCCCAAGATGGTTGATCTTTTAACAGCCTAGCTAATGTCTGAGTCACTACATAAACATAGGTCACTTAGGTTAGTTCAGATGTTTCAGATACCAGTAGCAGTGTAGCTGTGGCAACAGTCACTCAGCAAGGGGGAAACTGCCTATTTATCTCTCCATTTGGGCAGGTTCTGTGCATCAGAACTGAGCTGTATAGCAGCTAACAAGAGGTAAGCAGACTCTAAAACAGACTGAATATTGCTAAGGGAAACCTTAAATGGCAACAGTGTAGAAAACCTAGTGAAAAGAGATTCAGGATTAAGTCTGAACTGGACAAAAAGAGGATGATTTTTTTTCCTTCTATTTATGCTGAAGCCTTTCACTGAATGTGGATCATGATCACTACAGTCTGGAGAGGCACCAAGACCAGTAGGTGGTACATGG